TTCCCCTCCCTGTGTCCATGTGTTCTCATTATTCAACACCCACCTATGAGTAAGAACATGTGGCGTTTGGTTTTCTGTTCTTGTATCAGTTTGCTGAGAATTATGGTTTCCAGACTCATCCATGTCCCTGCAAAGGACATGAACTCATCCTTTTTTATGGCTACATAGTATTCCATGGTATATATGTGCCACATTTTCTTTATCTAGTATATCATTGATGGGCATTTGAGTTGGTTCCAGGTCTTTGCTATTGTAAACAGTGCCACAATGAACATACATATGCATGTGTCTTTATAATAGAATGATTTATAATCCTTTGGGTATATACACAGTAATGGGATTGCTGGGTCAAATGGTATTTCTATTTCTACATCCTTGAGGAATCCCCACACTGTCTTCCACAATGGTTGAACTAATTTCACTCCCACCAACAGTGTAAAAGCATTTCTATTTCTCCGCATCCTCTCCAGCATCTGTTGTCTCCTGATTTTTTAATGATCACCATTCTAACTGGCATGACATGGTATCTCAATGTGGTTTTGATTTGCATTTCTCTAATGACCACTGATAATGAGCATTTTCTTCATATGTTTCTTGGCTGCATAAATTTTTTCTTTTGAAAAGTATCTGTTCATATCCTTTGCCCATTTTTAGATGGGTTTGTTTATTTTTTTTTCTTGTATATTTGTTTTAGTTCCTTGTAGATTCTGGATATTAGCCCTTTGTCAGATGGGTAGTTTGCAAAAATTTTTTTCCCATTCTGTTGGTTGCCAGTTCATTCTAATGCTTGTTTCTTTTGCTGTGCAGAAGCTCTTAAGTTTGCTTAGATCCCATTTGTCTATTTTGGCTTTTGTTGCCATTGCTTTTGGTGTTTTAGTCATGAAGTCCTTGCCTATGCCTATGTCCTGAATGGTATTGCCTAGGTTTTCTTCTAGGGTTTTTGTAGTGTTTGGTCTTATGTTTAAATACTTAATCCATCTGGAGTTAATTTTTATATAAGGTGTAAAGAAGGGCTCCAGTTTCAGCTTTCTGCAGATGGCTAGCCAGTTTTCCCAACAGCATTTATTAAACAGGAAATCCTTTCCCCATTGCTTTCTCAGGTTTATCAAAGATCAGATGATTGTAGATGTGTGACATTACTTCCAAGGCCTCTGTTCTGTTCCATGGGTCTATATCTCTGTTTTGGCACCAGTACCATGCTGTTTTGATTAAAGTAGCCTTGTGGTATAGTTCAAAGTTAGGTAGCATGATGCCTCCAGCTTTGTTCTTTTTGTTTGGGATTATCTTGTCTACGTGGGCTCTATTTTGGTTTATGAAGTTTAAGATGGTTTTTTTCCAGTTCTGTGAAGAAGGTCAATGGTTGCTTGATGAGGATAGCATTGAATCTATACATTACTTTGGGCAGTATGGCCATTTTCACAATATTGATTCTTCCTAACCATGAGCATGGAATGTTTTTCCATCTGTTTGTGTTCTCTCTTATTTCCTAGAGCAGTGGTTTGTAGTTCTCCTTAAAAAGGTCCTTCACATCCTTTGTTGGTTGTATTCCTAGGTATTTTATTCTCTTTGTGGCAATTGTGAAAGGGAGTTCACTCATGATTTGGCTCTCTGTCTGTTATTGGTGTATAGGAATGCTTGTGATTTTTGCTCATTGATTTTGTATCCTGAGACTTTGTCAAAGTTGCTTATCGTCTTAAGGAGATTTTGGGCTGAGAGTATGGGGTCTTCTAAATATACAATCATGTCATCTGAAAATAGAGACAGTTTGACTTCTTCTTTTCCTAAGTGAATACCCTTTATTTCTTTTTCTTGCCTAATTGCTCTGGCTAGAACTTCCAATACTATGTTGAATAGGAATGGTGAGAGAGGGCACCCTTGTCTAATTCCAGTTTTCAAAGGGAATGCTTTCAGTTTTTGCCCATTCAGTGTGATGTTGGCTGTGGGTTTGTCATAAATAGCTTTTATTATTTTGAGATACGTTCCATCGATACCTAGTTTGAGAGTTTTTAGCACAAAGGGCTGTTCAATTTTGTCAAAGGCCTTTTCTGCATCTATTGAGATAATCATGTGGTTTTTGTCTTTGGTTCTGTTTATGTCGTAGATTACGTTTATAGACTTCTGTATGTTGGACCAGCCTTGCATCCCCGGGATGAAGCCTGCTTGATCATGATGGATAAGCTTTTTGATGTGCTGTTGCATTTGTTTTGCCAGTATTTTATTGAAGATTTTTGCATTGATGTTCATCATTGATATTGGCCTGAAATTTTCTTTTTCAGTTGTGTCTCTGCCAGTTTTTGGTATCAGGATGGTGTTGGTCTCTTAAAATGAGTTAGGAGGGAATACATCTTTTTGTATTGTTTGGAATAGTTTCAGAAAGATTGGTACCAGCTATTCTTTGTACGTCTGGTAGCATCCGTCTGGACCTGGACTTTTTTTGGTTGGTAGGCTATTAATTGCTGTCTCAACTTCAGACCTTGTGATTTAGTCTATTCAGGGATTCAACTTCTTCCTGGTTTAGTCTTGGGAGGGTGTAAGTGTTCAGGTATTTATCCATTTCTTCCAGATATACTGGTTTATGTGCATAGAGGTGTTTGTAGTAATCACTGATGGTAGTTCGTATTTCTGTGGAATCAGTTGATATCCCCTTTATTATGCTTTATTGTATCTATTCTGTTCTTCTCTTTTTGTTATTAGTCTGGCTAGTGGTCTATCTATTTTGTTGATCTTTTTAAAAAACCAGCTCCTGGATTTATTGATTTTTGAGGGTTTTTTTGTGTCTCTATCTCCTTCACTTCTGCTCTGATCTTAGTTTTTTTCTTGTCTTTGCTAGCTTTTGAATTTGTTTGATCTTGCTCCTCTAGTTTTTCTAATTGTGATGACAGGGTGTCAATTTTAGATCTTTCCTCCCTTCTTATGTGTGCATTTAGTGGTATACATTTCCCTTTAGACACTACTTTAAATGTGTCCCAGAGATTCTGGTACGTTGTGTCTTCATTCTCATTGGTTTCCAAGAACATCTTTATTTCTGCCTTCATTTCATTATTTATCCAGTAGCCATTCAGGAGCAAGTTGTTCATTTTCCACATCGTTGTGTGGTTTTGAGTGAGTTTCTTAATCCTGAGTTCTAATTTGATTGTGCTGTGGTCTGAAAGAGTGGTTGTTATGAGTTCTGTTCTTCTGCATTTGCTGTACCTACTCTAAGTTCTTGTTCCTTCCATCTAATATGGTGACCTGGAATGAGATATTTAACCTCATTCAGCTTTTTCCTCTGTAATATAAGAGATTTAGACTAAGTCAATAGTTTTCAACCTTTGCTATATATTACAACTGCCTGAGACGCTTAAAAAGCGTCAACAACAAAAAAAAAAACAACACTAATGCACAGGTTGCCCCCTAGACTAATTAAATCAGACCCACTGGGGTAGGATCTAGGCTTTAATTACCTTCCAGATTGATTCAAATGTGCCACAAGAGTTAAGACTCACTGCAAGTGTGATGGTTCGAATCTCTTCCAGTTCTTAAAAACTCGAAAGCATAAGTCTTAATTCTAGACCTCATCTTCTCCATTTTGGCCAAAATTACAACTTCTTCAGTGGCTATGACTAAGACATTTCAGATTCCTGCTCACTAGGTTCTTTTCTCTTTCCCTTCAGTCCTCTCATATGGAACAAAAAAACAGTACAGTGAGGTCTTGAAATTACAGATTTGTAAAAGTTAACAGAAAGTTTGTAAGTTCCCTGAATCCCTTTACCCCTTTTACTGATCAAATAGAGGGTAAAGAGGGTATTATGAGGAACCGATTATTCTTAGCCACACCAACAAGACAGAGATTAGTAGCAAAGTGAGGAAGCTAGACATTCTGATACCCAAGGAAGCTCCCAAATCAACTGCTTGCCAACTTGGATAAGAGTCAGGTTGAGGGCCTTGGCCTAATCTATGAACAAGACTCATTTATTTTTGCATGTGAACTATAATCACTGGTTGTTGAGCCCTCCAAATCTTGAGCTAGGAGAATTGTTGTTAAGAGCTGAATGGAAAAGAACGGATTACACACAATAAATCCTTGCAGATACAAAACCAACACCAGAAAACCCATGACCATCATGCTTTGTTTTGTTGGGCTATGGACTGTAGGAGTTCACTTGGAAAATGCTGTAATACATAGCAACAAGGAGCTGGCAGATAGAACAGGCTTTACGTATAAGATGAGTACATATTTTTTTGAAACAGAATGAGAATTATCTCATTGAGTAGGTTTTTAATGATTCTCTATGGCCAAATTTGTCTCACTTTAGTTAATGATTTCCTAGACAAGCTTATTTTCTCTGCTGTCTTTCATATTTCCCTGTAAATGCTGCAAGACTGACTCTGGACCTCACCTCTCCAGCAAGGAATTTGAGGAAAGTTTCACTGATATTTTTTTAAAAAACAACATAAAAGGGATGGTTTGTACTCTGATTTTGTGAAACCAAATCATTCTGACAGCTGTAGGCATTGTTGTAAGTAGGCACCCCATCATTGTCAAATTAATCCTGAATCACTTCCTTCAGTAAGCATGAACAGAGAGAATATAGTAACTACAATCTGAATTAAACAACTCCTGTCTCAGGAACCCTGGTTGTGAGAACTCTTGATAATAACTGTTTAAACTGAGTGGAATTTTCTCCCACTAATTTCTTAATAAAAAATGCCTAAAAATTTGGCATAGCTGAATTGTCACAACAAAAGTAAGGAACAAAACTAAAGGACTCTGGATGGGACAGACAGATCAGACTGGGTCTTTATGCTCCAGATGTCATGGTCACCAAACGATTGAATAAAATGACTTTTAGGTTCACGCAGTCAGTTTTCTGTGGAGCAGAGATGAGTACCTCGGAGGCCATGTCCTTCTGACACTCTTAGACAAAAGTTTGACAGAGATAGTACGGAAATGTTATGTTTTGAAGAGTTTTGTCCCAAGCAAACATTTTAATTTCAAATGTTTTTGCCCTTAAACTTAGATCTTCCACCTCCTGCAACCCGAGAAAGACCACCAGGATGCAAAACAGTATTTGTGGGTGGCCTGCCTGAAAATGGGACAGAGCAAATCATCGTGGAAGTTTTTGAGCAGTGTGGAGAGATCATTGCCATTCGCAAGAGCAAAAAGAACTTCTGCCACATTCGCTTTGCTGAGGAGTACATGGTGGACAAAGCCCTGTATCTGTCTGGTAGGTGTTTAGATGTGGGGATTGTGCCCACCAGGCCAATACAGAGATTGATAGGACTATTTGTCTGTAGCAGCTAAGTTTGGGCTTAGTATTACCTGCTCTTGCCTTCAGAGATGGAAACTGAATGTTCCCATTCAACTTCTTCCTTTAAAGCTCTTCAATAGCTCCCAATTGTCTATGGGATAACTTCAGACTCCTCACATGTGGCATCTGAAGGCCTTGACTGTGTGCTCTACCTCTTAGAGTCATCTCCTGATCCTTCCTTCCCTCACACACCATGTCCCAACCACATTAAGTGAACTCTTATTTCCAGAATGTGCCATGGTGTTTTATCACCTTGCCTGCCACACACACCCACTAAAGCTCCAGCTCAGGCACACCCTCCTCTGGAAAGCTGTCTCTGACCTGTCTCCCTACTCTGCCCAGCGCTGCTTTAGGCACTCCTTCCTTAGGGCTTTCACAGCACCTGGTGCTTCCTCCCAACACGACGACACCTACTGTCCCATGCTAGAACTGTCTCTTTCCACATCCGTCTCCCCCACCAGTGTGTGAAATCTTTAAGGGCAGGGACTGTGTCTTATTTAACATTGAATCCCCAGCACCTAGCACACACCCTAGCACAAAAGTAGATGTTCATAATTATGGAAGTCAGTAAGTTGTCAAATATTTATTGACTGTTAGGCAGAATGCTAGGTTGCTGGGGATACAGCTAAGGCTGAGGCAGATAGACTTCCAGCCATCAAGGATACTACATTCTGGAAATGGCAAAATATATATGAAAACAAATAAATAAGTTACTTTCAGTACTGGCAAGTACTCCTAGGGAGATAAAAAAAAAAAAAAGGTTAATGTATCCAGAGTTGTTAGGAAAGGAAGTCTTCTCTGACATTTGAACTGAGACTTGGATAATGTGAAGAGAGATTGCCATGTGAACATCTTGGGGAAGAGCATTCCGAAGTAAGGAACAGCAAGCCAAAGGCCCTGAGATAAAAATGGACTTGGCGTGTTCAAGCAGAGGATAGAAGGTTAGTATGACTGGAGCATAGAAAATGAGAGTTGGGGTGGCGGGAAATGAAGTCTGAAAGGTAGGCAATACCAAATCATGTTGTCTTATGAACTATGACAATGAGTTTTATTCTGGAAGCCACTGGTGAATTTTAAGGAATTCAGTGACACGATCTGATTTACATTTTAGAAATGTTACTTCTGAGCAGAAGATGGGCTAATTGGTATGAGCAGAGGTGGTGACTGGGAACTAAGTTAACCAACTGTAATATTAGTCTAACCCAGAAGTGATAGTGGCTTGTATAGTACAGTAGTTGGAGTGGAGATAGTAACAACTATCTCCTATTTATAGTAAAAATTCTGATTTAGGGTGTGTCTTTGTCCATTTTCTGTTGCTTATAAAAGAATACCTGAAACTGAGCAATTTATAAAGGAAGGGAGTTCATTTTTTACAATTATGGAGGCTGAAAGTCCAAAGTCTGGGAGGCACATCTGGTGAAGGCCTTCTTGCTGGTGGGGTCTCTCTGCAGAGAGTTAGCTCAGGTCTTTCTTCCTCTTCTTATAAAGCCACAAGTCCTACTCTCCTGAGAACCTGCTAGTTCATTAATGGATTAATCCATTCATGAGGACAGAGCCCTCATGACCCAATCACCTCTTAAAGGCCCCAGCTCTTAATACTGCCACATTGAACTACTTCCTTGACTAACAGTAATGGTTTGGAAGAATTGAATCTAAGTACTAGATATTTTATGATGACAACATCGTTATTCATATAACAGGTGCTTATTGAACATTTTATTTGCGTAAACTATCGTGCTAGGTGCTGTGCAGAGTAGAAAATGAGTAAAACCTAGTTCTTCCCCTTAATGAACTTAGAGTTAGTATGTCGTCATACATTTATTTATTAAAGAAAAATGTATTTAGTGCCAGGCATTACTAAATACACTGATATGATACACACACTGCTAATAAGAGATTAAAAGTGACAAGTGCCATAGAGGAAGAAGTGAGAGATAAAAGTAGGAGAGGGAGAAAGAATATTTCTGACTCCTAACTGAGGGCATCATGAAAGGTAGCTTTTGGACCAAGTCTTTGACAAAGGGAAAACATTTGCTTGTGGACAATGGGACATAAAAACAGCATGAGCAAAAGTATAAAAGTTATAAGCTTTGGCAAACATTCAGGAAACAGTGAGTAGTGGTTTGTTTACTAAGTAGACATGAGAGGAGGAGGCAGAACATCAGTTATTAGCACACTCCGAAAGGCTTAACAGTTGGGTCTTTGCTCCTCGGGTACTAGGGAATTGAAGAAATTTTTGAACAAGGAAGATAATTGTTTCTGCAAGATTAATTTGACAGCTCTGAATAAAACTGTATTAGAGGAAAGATGAAAAAAGAGGAGAGAAGGTCAGTTAGAAGCCTGTTGTAATAGGCAGAGGAAAATGTAACCAAGGTTTTGAAAAAGTAGGCTAGTAACATGGGGAAGGAAAGGAGGAGGTATATGGAGAACACTCTTATTACAATTGCTAAGTGCTATAGAATCTAACTACTGAAAATTCGACAGCACTTAACAATGATAACAGAGCATTCCATGAGACTGTTTTAATAAGAACATAAAGGTCTCAAAAAAACCTGCATAGTTGTACTTAAAAAGACAATATACTGATCAGGAAGCATCCATCTAAACATCAACAAAATCAGCTCTCTGTTAACAGCCACCTCCTAGAGACATTCTTAGGGCTGCCAAAAGAAAGAGGATTTCAATCAGTGATATGAAAACAACTAAATTTTTCCCTTTAAATTTGAATCTGTCCCCTGAAAGTGCACAAATGCTACCAATCTCCTGAATGGGGTGGCTGTTACCTCATTTTGTAAAAGAAAGCAATTAAAGCAAACAAACAAAAAAATCTCTTAACAAAAGGGGCTAGAAAATGTGGAGATGATCTTTTTGTTTTCTGATGGAATTGGAGTACCTTTAGGCGCTGGCACTGTGCACAGTGCACACAACCCATAGCATTGTAGTATCTTTAGTGAGGTTTATGTAGAGCTTTCATATCATCCTATTATTTGATCCCCTCTACAGTTCTGGGAGAGTAGGAAGGTAATCATTAATAGCCCCATTTTTCTGATAGCTCAGATGATCAAATAAGATGAATGGATGTGCAAATGTATTATAAACTGTAAAGAGCCCTATAAAGTTTTGCTTATGAAATGTATTCATTCTTCCTTTTCCTAAAAGCGATGTGTAGTAGTTTTAGCATTACGTGGTAATATTATTCTTTGTAACAGCTTTAATTGGCTATAATAATTTAATTTTAATGAGGTATAATAATTGACATAAAATGACCTTAACATATCTTAAAAATACAATTATATAATACTCTATATATGTATTCAGCTGTGAAACCATCACCAACAATGAAAATAATGAATATGTCTACTATCCCCGAAAGCTTCCTGTACACCCCTTTGTAATCCTGACCTTCTACCTCTCCCCACTCCACCTTCAGGCAACCATTTATCTGTTCTCTATCAGATTAGTGTGCATTTTCTAGAACTTTATATAAATGAAATCATGCATTATGTATGCTCTTCCTTCCTTTCTATAGATTCAGATTTCCACTTGGTATCATTTTCCCTATGCTTGAATTTCCTTTAATATTTTTGTAGAGCAGATCTGTTCCCGATGAATTCTTTCGACAATGATTTGAAAAAGTATTTCATCTTTCTTTTTGAAAGATGTTTTTCCTCTTTCAGATGTTGTTCCACCATTTTCTTGCTTGCATTGTATCCAACAAGAAATGTGTTGCTATCTTTATCTGTGTTTCTCTGTGCATATTGTGTCTTTTGTCCATGGCTGCTTTTAAAATATTTGTATTATTGCTGGTTTTGAGCAATTCAATTATGATACGCTTTGGTGTGATTTTCGTCTTGTTTCTTATGCTTGGGGTTTATTGAACTTTTTGGATCTGTGAGTTTTGATCAGATGTGGAAGAATTTCTCCCCTTATTTCTTTAATTTTTTTCTGTTCTCTCTCCTCCCTTTTGGTGCTCCAGTTAGGCATATATTAGGCCCCTTGAAGTTGTCTCACAGCTCACTGGTATTCTCTTCCTTTTTTCAGTGTTTTTTCTTTCTGTATTTTATTACAGATCGTTTTATTGCTGTCATCAAATTCATTCATTTTTTTCATTATAGATTCAGAGAGTACCTGTGCAAGTTTGTTATATGAATATATTATGTAATAGTGAGCTTTGGGCTTCTAGTATACCCATCACCCAAATAGTGATTATTGTATCCAATAGTTAATTTTTAACCCTCATCCCCCTCCCACACGCTTCATTTTTGGAGTCCCCAGTGTCTATTATCTATCTTTATGTATACCCATTGTTTAGCTCCCACTTATAAGTGATAACACATGATATTTGATTTTCTGTTTCTGAGTTGTTTCACTTAGGATAATAGCCTGCATTTGCATTTTAAAGTATTACTAAATTCACACATTCAAAAGCCCAATCTTCATATAATCCAGTGAGACAGGAGAAATAAAAATGCTTCTCTTTTGCTGCTTTCAGAATTTTTTCCTTCACTTTGGATAGTCTAATGCCTATATGCCTTGGCGATGTTCTTCTTGCAAAATATCTTTTAGGTGTTCTATGAGATTCTTGTACCTGGGTGTCTACATCTCTTGCAAGACCAGGAAAATTTTCCTGGATTATTCCCTTAAATATGTTTTTCAAGCGTTTCACTTTTTCTTCTTCTCCCTCAGAAATGCCTATTACTTATAGATGTGGTTGCTCTACAGAATCCCATATTTCTCAAAGGCTTTATTCATTGTTTTAAATTCCTTTTTTATTATTTTTGTCTGGATTAATTCAAAAGACCAGTGTTCAAGGTCTGATATTCTTTCTTCTTCTTGATATAGCCTGTTATGAAAACTTACAGCTGTATTTTCTAAATCCTTCAGTGAATTTTTAATTTCCAGAAGTTCTGGGGTTTTTAAAAGATATTTATTTCTTCTTTCATATCCTGCATTGTTTCTCTGATTGCTTTGTGTTGGTTTTCAACTTTCTCTTGAACCTTATTGAGCTTTCTTACAATCCATATTTTGAATTCTTTATCTGTCATTTTCATTTTGGTTAGGATCCATTGCTAGAAAGCTAGTGTGATGTTTTTGGGGTGTCGCAACACTCTGTTTTTTCATGGTGCCAGAGTTCTTACACTGGTTCCTTCTCACCTGAGGAAGCTGTCACTTCTTATTTTTGAATCTAATTTCATTTGGATGGGACTTTTTCCCCCTTGAAGGTGTGACTGTAGCGTATGCTGGGTAGGGTCCTTTGTTTTTGCTTCTTTAGCCCTGTACACTTCTGTTAGCAGGTGTCCTATTGTGCCATGCAGTTCAATCTCCTGGCCAGTAGGTGGCGTGTACAAGTAAGAGCCACCTGTGGCAGAAGCAGATAAGCGTGTGCTGTATCTTTTTTACTGTGAGATGCTGTCTGTTCTTTCAGGTGATGGGCTGGTCTGTGAAATTCCGGGTTCCCTGTTCAGTCCAGGGAGAGCAGATACAGGACAGAGCTGGGTGGAACGGGACCACCAAGCTCACCCACGAATAACCCAATAATGAGCACAGGCAGCAGCCCTGTCAGGAGTGGCTAGGGGAACTCTTGGTAAAATGTGCTGAGGTCTCTTCAACGGGATGAGGGGGCTGCATCAGCTCCACTTCCTAGACAGGCGGCATCACAACTTTGTCCTGGGGCTCGTGACTTAGTTTACATGCTGTCTATCTATCTCTAGGCTACTGTGTAGCTGAGAGGAGTGACTTTGGGGAGGAAGCTCTTCCCTCAGCCCAGTACGACCAGCTTTGTGGCTCACCTGCTCTCTGACACACCTTCATGTAGATAAGGGGAGGGGCTCTGCATTTCAGCAAGTGAGGGTGCGTGGAAGCTCAGGGGGTGCCAGCTGGTTAAGCCCAACCTCAGGCCTCAGGGGTAGTGGTCAGGTGCCAGCAGTGATGGATGGGGCTAAGCAGTCCTCCAATTCCCAGGCCCCTAAGTGGCCCACTGGATGGTGTCTATGGGGCCTGGAGGGACTCCGCTGGGACTGGGCCAGCAGGCTTATTCTCAGGCCCCCAAGGTTCAGGTGGTGGCTGTGATAGGGAGGGTGGGCTGGCCCCCCGTCACCAGCAGAACTCTTAGATGGGGTCAGGCAGAAGGCTCAGGTGCTGGGGGGCCCCAGGTTCATTAGTTTTTTTCTTATGCAGCATTTAATTTGCCATCAGTCCTGTCCGGTGATGTTTTTTTAACTTAGACATTGTAGCTTAAGTCTGTAGTTGTTTGATTGTGGCTCTTTTTATATCTTTTGGGTTTCTCCTTAATATGGTCAGTCTTTTCTCTAGCTTCTTGAGCATGTGAAATCAAATTTTCATCATTGTTTTTATGTCATTATCTACTAATTAAGTTATCTGCATCACTTCTGGGTCTGTTTAGATTGGTGAATTTTTAAAATCTTTATTATGGGTCATATTTTTCTGCATCTTTGCATGCCAGGTAATTTTTTTATTGAAGTTTACCTTATTTGGTGACAGATGTTTTTATTTCTATAGTCTTGAGCTTTGTTCTAAATGCAGCTAAGTAACTTGGGAAAATGTTGGTCCTTTTAGGTCTTGCTTCTTAATCTTTGTTCAGCAAGACCAGAGCAGTTTACTCTAGGACTAATTTTTCTCCACTATTAAGGCAGAACTCTCCTGATCACCCAGTACCAGAAGTGTGAATTTTTCTGCTCTGACTGGTGGGGAAAGGAGCTGTTCTCAATCCTGTGGGAGCTTCAGGGATTGTTACCTCTAATGTTCAGGTAGTTTCCCACACACATAGATGTTAGTACTCAGCTAAATAATAGTGGTGGACCCTCTGCATATCTCTGAAGCTCTTTCTTTCCGGTACTCTGCCTTATGAACTCTATTTCCGTAGTCTCCCTAGACTCCCAGTTCAGTCTCCTCAACTTGGGAATACTGTCATGCCCTGCCTGAGTTCCTCTCCCTTTGCTGAGGCCCAGAAACTCTCCAGGAAATAAGCTGGGGCATTAATAGGGATCACTTCATTTGGTTTTTGTCTCTCAGTGATCCCTGTCTTCATTGTCTATGTACAGTGTCTTTAGAAAGCATTATTTCATATATTTTATCCATATTTTTAGTTGTTTAAGGTAGGAGAGCAAATCTAACCCCTATTACTCTATCTTAGCCAGAAGCAAAAGTCTATGTTGGGTATTTTTCTTGAGAGACAAGTTGGAATAGAGGATACCACAGTGTATTTGGAGTCTAACGTCCTAGATTCAAGGGCCAGCTCTACTGTTTGCTAATTGCCTGATCCAGGGCAAGCTATTTAACCTCCCTAACCTCTTTTGATGCTCAGTTTTCTGTTTGGTAAAATGTTTACCCTGCAAGCTTGTGCTGAGAGTGAATTGAGATAAATTCATGTGGAAATATCTAGCTGAGCTCTTGAAACAAAAAGTACTTAATTTTCCCCCACTTTTTATTAAGAGACATGACTTGGGTAAGTATAGCTGGCACAAAAACAGGAGGTAGGGTGTTGAATACTGGTTTTCTGAATCCCAGTCCTATACTACTGTATTATAATCACACTGCATTTTTTTCTTTAAGGATCCCAAATTATATGTCACCTGAGTCACATACCACTCCCCATCTTTTTTTTTTTTTTTTTTTTTTTTTTTTCAGGAAAAAAAAAAAGGTTCAGAGTTGACAAATGCTTCTAGGAAGCAATTTTAGGGATTAAAATACCAAGTTAATGCATTTAAGTTTTACTAAAATCTTTGTAATAGTATAATGGACACTCTTGAATTTATTTAAAGACAAGATCGTTTGAGGCCAACTTTTCCATTCTTCCCAGCCCTTGGTGCCATAGAAGGATCATGCTTGATACCAATTACCCACAGAGCCACCCTCAGCCAGAGGTAAGATATTATGGAGGAATGGAACTCTTAAGAACAAGACTGACCCAACCCACAGAATGTGACCTATTATCAGAGATAATCAAAATCTTTTGATGATTTACCTTGCTAAGCATGGAGAGAGAATTTGGAGTTGTGTGGTCACTTGCAACTGTTGCAGTGACATCTCAAACACTGAACTTGGAAAAGTATTTATAGTTGTTCATGCCCTTCTCTCTCTCACACACACATACTTTCTATCTTACTCTCTCCTCTCCCTTTTACTCTCCTATGAATTTAGGTTACCGCATTCGCCTGGGCTCTAGTACGGACAAGAAGGACACAGGCAGACTCCACGTTGATTTTGCACAGGCTCGAGATGATCTATATGAGTGGGAGTGTAAACAGCGTATGCTAGCCAGAGAGGAGCGCCATCGTAGAAGAATGGAAGAAGAAAGATTGCGTCCACCATCTCCGCCCCCAGTGGTCCACTATTCAGATCACGAATGCAGCATTGTTGCTGAAAAATTAAAAGGTATCAAAGGCATTCAAACTTCATGATTAAAAGAACTCTTTTATTTAGAGAAGTGTAATAAATATAATTGCATTGTTGGCAGTTAACTTTGAGTTTCCTACTAACGGCCTCCAAACATTTCTTGTGTTAGAGCCTTGCAGATAGAGAGGTGAACCTAGTAACTCAAGAACCCGGAAATTTATCCCTACTACCTGTGTCTCTGCTCCTTCATTTTTCTCTTCAGATTATCAGGTGACTAGGAATAAACAAGTTTCCTTCACTTTTCCACATCAGAGAATTTTAGGCATGATCTACGACTTGTGACCTGTAAGTGCCCTCTTTTGTAGTGGATACAAATTAGGTTTGGATTCCAAGTCAAATGAGTGAATCAGGATAGGATTTGATGTGATCCTGAAAAACTCTGGTAAAATACTTTTTTTTTTTTTTTGAGACGGAGTCTTGCTCTGTCCCCAGGCTGGAGTGCAGTGGTGCAATCTCGGCTCACTGCAACCTCCGCTTCCTGGGTTCAAGCGATTCTTCCACCTCAGCCTCCCAAGTAGCTGGGACCACAGGCATGTGCCACCACACCCGGCTAATTTTTTTTTTTTTTTTTTGTATTTTTAGTAGACACGGGTTTCACCATGTTGGACAGGATGGTCTCGATCTTTTGACTTCGTGATCCACCCACCTTGGTCTCCCAAAGTGCTGGGATTACAGGCGTGAGCCACTACACCCGGCCAAAATTCTCTTTTTAAAGATGAGAAAATGGAGGCCCAGAAAGTAGCCATGGTGTACGTTCTTCTTAGATTACTCAAAGAGTTAGCCACCACCAACTAAAAAATAAAGACTTTTAAATCACTTTTAAAGGCCAATTTATTTAAAACAGTGACTGTGGAGACTTGCTTAATCAGACTGCTTTCCCATTAGTTTTCATTCTTGTTCCCCTTGTTTGACTCTCAGCCGTTTTGTTAATTTAACATTAATTGCTCTGCCTGGTCTCCTGTCTTAGTAGCTCAAATCCAGTCTTTCTCATTTTCTGAGTATAGATGATTTTATTGAATGAATGCTGGTGTCCCATTGCTCTTATTGATAACACCAATCCAGCTCTAATGGTATGAATTTTCCCAGCTTCTTGTACTCTCAGGTCAGCAAGATACTACTAATCCTACTTTCCAAATAGGTCTCCTTCACCAGACATGTTTGTACCACATAGCCTAAGGAATTCACACATGTAAGAAATTGATTTTGACTTTCTTTAAGGGAAAAGCAGAAAACCTAGAGTCTAGAATAGAGGCACAGAAATAATGGTACATTTTTAAAAATGAGAAAGGCTGAAAGAAAGCATTGCCTAAGATGCCAGTTCCAAGACTTGCCTATTCGCGCACAACCAAACAAATTAGTTTATGTTTTTAAAAAATGAGTTTAATGGGTATGTGACCCTCAAGAGAAGCAAAAACTGAGCATCAACATAAAGTCTATATCTAAGTAATAAAGTGAAAAGCTGCTATAAAGGAGAGGCTGACTGCTTGTCATAAGTCTGCACTGAAAAAAGGGCAAGAGGCAAGAAATTCAAATTGCAATGAAGGAAATTTTCCATTTGACATAAGGGTTTCTAGCCAGAGAAGGATGTGAAGCCCTTGAATTGGGCTTCAATAGATATCAATGGACTCTCCCTCTCTGCAGCCTTTAAGAGTAGAATGTACATGTGGCTATCTTGGGGAGCCGAACCAGAAGCTTTGGAAGAGCTTCTCTACTATCTTAACTAATCACAGAATAACTTTTAAGTAGCTGCAGAAATCTACATGGAGTGTTCCTCAGGCAGAAGACAAAAGGATGTGGAGAAATATAGAAATAAAATGAATTGCATCAAAATAGATTGTGACTGGGACTAAGTGGAAGGCCTGGGGCTGTGGATGGAACGCAGGAGTGATATTATAAAAGGTCGAAGATGTACATGTTTGTATCTAAAGAATGACCCACTTAACTCTTCCCTGAGGCTCCTTCCAATGCTGTCATTGCATGGATCCAAGGTAAAGTTACTGTCAAATTCACGTTAAACTCAGGATTCGAGTTTGTTTTTCCTCATTAAAACACAGAACTGTAGAATTCTGAAACCCCTCACTAATTCATCTTTTCTTCTGTCTCTCTCTCCCCTCCACTCGTGCTCTCTCTCTCTCTGTCTCTCTCTCTCTGTCTCTCTCTCTCTCTCTCTCTCTCTCTCTCACACACACACACACACACACACACACACACACACACAATCAGAGAGGGTAAGAAATTTGCAATACATGAAAGCTATATATCAGCACAGAGAACTTTTTTCAAGTAAACATTTCCGTTTCTGAAAATTCATCATAGACCACAACCAGTCTGACTACACTGAGCCTTCCATTCCTCCTGTTTGTCTGCCTGCCTGCTGCCTGTGTGTGCACCTGTGTGTATGTGTGGCTCCTCATCCTCAGCGATTCATTTAACCACCACTGCCAAAAACCACGATGGCCTCTTTGCCAGCATGTTGGGAAAATAGCTCAAAATTTGCTTACCTTTGTTGGCTATAAACATATTTTTTTTCAGATGATTCCAAATTCTCAGAAGCTGTGCAGACCTTGCTCACCTGGATAGAGCGAGGAGAGGTAAACCGTCGTAGCGCCAACAACTTCTACTCCATGATCCAGTCGGCCAACAGCCACGTCCGCCGCCTGGTGAATGAGAAAGCTGCCCATGAGAAAGATATGGAAGAAGCAAAGGAGAAGTTCAAGCAAGCCCTTTCTGGAATTCTCATTCAGTGTGAGTGGAACTTAGAGTTCTGCTGGAATGATGATAAGTCACTTCACTTAGTCACTTGCTCTCTATAGGAGCCCAGGTCTCCAGAGCCATCTTGTGTGAAGGCTCAAGGCTCCCTTTTTCACTGCCTTGTGCTCTCCTTATATTGCCAAATGCCCAAGCTCCAGTTTCACAGGAGACATGTGGGCACCTGCTAGCTTCATCTTCTGTGGTATATGTACTTCACCTTCTTAGAAACACTGAACTTTAGGCCACATCCTGTACTTTTACAGCCCTGGGCCTCAATAGAGGGCTGGGTATTTTATTGATAAAGTTACGATGCAGCATTTTAAATCTGTTTTGCTTCAGATTTGTATCATTATCATCATGTAATATGCCTTTTAGAAACTCCAGTTCAATGATCAATATAGTTATATTTCCCAAGGTGATTGAATAAAAACCAAATTTGCTACTTCTACCTTTTTGATTTAGTTTCCTTTCTTCTGCTACCTTTGCTGGATGTTATAGACAGTCAAAGGAGGCGAGAAGCTACCAACATGGCCATTCTCAAAAAGTTCTGCTCCACACCTATCTAAGATCTCTGAAATGAGCCAGATCAGATAAATTATTAAGTAATTTTTTGCTTACCACATTATAAAATTATACACTCATATTTTTTAAATATATATTTTATTGCACTTTAGGTTCTGGGGTACATGTGCAAAACATGCAGGATTGTTGCATAGGTACACACATGGCCATGTGGTTTGCTGCCTCCATCCCCCTGTCACCTACATCTGGCATTTCTCCCCATGTTATCCCTCCCCAACTCCCTACCCCCCACTGTTCCTCCCCTGGTCCCCCCCCCAACAGACCCCAGTTACACTCGTATTTTTTCAGTAATAAGTGTATTCACCTTAAGAATAAGAGTACAATTTTATGACTTGGCTTTTAAACAATTATGGTCCACTTTTTCCAAACTTGACTTCCCTGTACTTGACTCATACATAATTATGATTAAGGGGGAGTTGTTTCATTTGCCACAACAACTCCTTCAAAATCTTGTATTTTGAAGGTATACATGGGCATAAAATCCAGGAGGCAAAAGCACATGTGTCCAGGACTTGAGGAAAAAATTTGAAAAAGGAGAGAGCAGCATGCATCATGGGAATATAAATCCTTAAGTCATTAGAAGACAGGGTGCAAACAGGGCCAAAAAAAAAACCACCAGCTCTGGATTTTCTTAATGTGAACACCCAACCAGACAGGGGCTCTTGTCTTGCTTTTCTTTTCCCCAAAGAGTCATGTCTAAGCTTCCCCTCTCTTGAATTGATTGGGATAAAGCCCCAGAATATCTGCATACATTTCCCTGTTTGGCATTTTAAGAGACCTTGAAAAATACTCTCTAGGACCACACTTACATCGTATTCTTTCCTAAAACTTACATTTCTCCAGTCAACAGTCTAGCTAGGTAGACTTTAAAAAGATTCAGTCCATCTTAGGTTTTGATCTGATGCTTTTGGTTAAACATACCTCAGAATAGTAAAGGCATGAATTCTGTTGAAGCAAGGAATCCAAGTTTATATCAGCAGGCTATGAAAGCAGCCAGAGGTAGAAAGTTCTGGTACAGTTTGCCATTTTCTTCCATGCTGTGCAGAGTCACTAGTACACTAAAGACAAGACTAAATTAAAGCGCATTTGCTAGGACTCTTCCTCTCCTGCCTCCGTGAATTCACTCTACCTGTATTCAAACTCTAGTTGTTACCACTTAACCCTAAACCTCTGGTGTTCCCTTTTGTCTTTCTGTATGTTGATGTCTTTTCCTTTGATTCCCCTTTAAAATCACAGTACCCCAACACATGTAGTCTTTTCCAAGCACAACCACAGCCTAGTATAGTGTCATAACAAGAAGATACAACAAGCCTGATGCTTCTCTTTTATTTCATTTCTTTTTTCCTCTCTTTTTCCATCCCGGATGATACTCTGGCCTGATCCAACTACTGATTCAATGCTGCAGTTGAGCAGATAGTGGCTGTGTACCATTCCGCTTCCAAGCAGAAGGCATGGGACCACTTCACAAAAGCCCAGCGTAAAAACATCAGTGTGTGGTGCAAACAAGCTGAGGTTGGTAACTTTTTACTCTGGTAGCCCCTCAGGGGGACAGTTTCTTTCTTTAACAAGTTATTGATTTGGAGTTTAGCCAGAATTAAATAGTGCCAAGCGCCCATGGTCACACAAGGCCCTAATGAAACACTAAGACATGTTCTGTAGCCTGTCACTGTGTCCAGACCACCTGCTGTCGAAAGGGTAATAAATGGTGCATGTGCTGTGGTGAATGCATTCTGCTGGATGGAAACCTGGGTAGTGAAAATGCAGCTGAGATAATTATAAGTTTACTTCTCTAAGCTAGCTAGTCTTGAATACAACAATAATTAGTGACCTGCACTTCTTGTGTTAGTAATATTAGGGCTGCCTTACATTTTTTAGTGTCTTGACAGTGGAGGACGGAAGCTGCCTGGTGTTCCACTGGATCATTGAAATTTCTGAGCTGCTTTTATCAAACTCATTTAGTCATCTTTATAGGTGGATGCTCTAAAGGTAGCAGGACTCTGATCTTAGGTTAAGGTCGTCACATACCTCTCCTTATATTCAACTGACGTTTTTAACATAACACTAGAATAAATGTGATATGATTAGTTTGCTATTCTGAATCAAAGATTAAAAATCGAGATGGGATATTTCACTGATCTGCCATCAGAAATCCTGTTACATATGCCTCAAGCCCTCCTATTCCTATGGGCAACTTCCTTACCAAGCCCTAATATTTTCAGTTTATATATGCAGCAACTTTTTCAACTACATTTCTGGTCCTCTTTGCCAGCCTGGTAGCAGTCCCATTATATCTATCAATGTAAATTGTCATATTCCTTAACTTTTAAATAGCATTTAAAAGATATTTACTTTTATAATGTGCTTTCACATTGGTTATCTCACCTGTGTGAGCCTCACAATAGACATGGTGGAGTGACAAAAGTATCGAACTCAGAGCCAGACATGAATTCAAATCTCAGCTCTGACGTTAGAACTGTGTGACTGAGCAGGTTATTCAGCCTTTGTCAGTCTCTATTTCTTCACCTGTAAATTCAAGACAATAATGAAACCAGTCTTCTAAGATTAGATGAGTTAGGAAATGTGCAAACAGTTTGAAAAATATACTATTACTTCAGTTTTTATTAAAAACTTCATAAGAGATAGTGAGTAGGTATAGAATTCATGCTTTGCATGCAGGAAAACTGAAACATAAAAATGTTAAGCGATTTACACAAAATTACAGAGCTACCAAATGGACTAGAAATTATTCTTGTCACTGTGAGCTCTGGTGCAAAATGCTTTGTGGTCTTGAGCTAGTCATTTAACCTTTGCAAATCTTTGTTTCTTAACTTATAAAGTAAAGATAATAATTACTCTCTGTCTGTCATGAGAATATATTAGATTGTTTATGTGAGAATAATTTGAAAACCATGAAAATCATTTAGGAGAAAATAAGCCAAACCCTGTTTATAAACTGATAGTATCTGAGCCATCAATTCCAGCACAGCAAAGTGATCTGGGAGTCACTAGAGAGAAATCCCTGAAGACATTCACCTAATGGGTAGGTAGAGTCAGAAAAAGCCAATAGCATCTTTACTTGTTTTTTAAAGAATTAGGTAAAAAAGGAAGCTATTATCTTACTGTAGCACAAAATGGTTTTAGAATCCTAGGGCTGCCTCATGTTCAACTTCAACAAACAAAATTCAACTTTGTGACTCAAATGTTCACTGATCACTTTCTCTATCTCAAGCACTATGACGGGCAACATAGAATGAAGTGATCTTTGCCTTCAGGCAGCCAGAAGGGTAATGAAAGTGATCAAGAGGAGGAGTGGAATTTCACACGCTAAATTTAAAATATCCAGTCTTCAGTTCAGAAGAATAAAAGTCAAGAGAAAAATGCTCAATAGGTCTTATGATTATAGAAAAGCAATACTGCATTAAGTTTCTACCTTCTCTTTGATACACATAAACTTCTAAGCCCTCTGGGTTAAAAGAAGTTGGCTGAACAGTCCCACCCTTTAAGGAAAGCCCTGACAGTACAACGTTGCCTTTTTGCAGGAGGAAGGGAGCCTCTGGTTGGAATGCTGATTTGCCTAGGTCACAGCACTTTTGTAAACTATGAGGCCATAAAATAATACCCATCAATATTATATTCCTCAATGCTCTGTGTAGTTATTAGGTTGGTACAAAAGTAATTGCAGTTTTTGCCATTAATATTTCAAGCCTATTTATCTGGTGGGTATATACATGAGTTTAATTAGACTCACAGTAGAGATAGCTATACATACTAATGAGCTAGAGACTCTTAGGACCTACAGAGAACTGAGATATTTGCACCCTATTACCCGATATTGTAACAGAACTTCCTTGTCAGAGTGGTGATGATAAAGTGCGTGACCAACATGACTTTCCAGGAGCTACATGTTTCATGATGTGACTTGTAGACTGTAGAAATCCCCAAAAATTCTTCCTGCTTGTTTGATTGAATTAAATTAAGGTCCACCTTGCATATCTCAAATCTTGTTCAGTACAACAGCTGAAAGTGGAAACTAACTCATAACCTTCCTCTGGTATTGCATTCCCTAAACCTAAAAGATCTCTTTCACTTTATATTGGTGCCTCTTTAAGTCATAGTTTGTTTTTGTTTTCATTTTCGTCCTTGTTTTTTTTTAACCTCTGCAAACTTTTACTTGATAACAGGCAACTATGAAGACTAAATGGAGGTATCCTGTGGGAAATAAATAAATCATCCTCTTAAATTGTCACTGCCTCTTAGCACCCCCTGAAAATCAGAACATCTCAAAAACTTAATCAGCTAGGCTGGCTTATTTTTGACCTAGGCATTCAAGCTACATACAACTCATAAGCCAAGGGTTTCATGAAGGTGAAAGTTTCTGATGTTCAACTTTTTTACCAGTTGCATCTGAGAACAAGTCAACCAATGATATTCCCATGTCACAAAGTACCTGTTTCTTGTCTCATTGACATCCTTCTACCAGCAGCCAATGTGGTCTTACTCTGCTGAGAGAAAGGATATAGAGTATGAAGAAAAAGTTTCTACCTTTGGGGAGCTTAGACATTGCCTTTCGTAGTATATGTCAAGCAGACTAGTTTGCTAATGAGTCTTTTTCATTGCTTTACTTTCCTGATTTATATGTATATGAGGTCCCCGCTAACACAACTGAAAAGGGTATTAGGAGAAGGCTAAAGTCCCTCCCATTACTAAAAGTTGATTTCTACAGTGACCTTACTGGCAGTTCTGTGTGTTGTAGTAACTCGTTTTCTACAGAATCACTTAAAACCTATGTATTTCTCTCTAGCTGGCCTAGATTAAAAGCTAATGCTTTGCTAATGTATAAAAACTGAAGCCATAACAATAAGCCCTAGGAGATACTCTCTTACATCCTCCCTCAGATGAGATTTGACACCATTGGGCTAGAGGAAAAGGGATTTGATGATTGCCAGTATTCTTGTAAAATGAAATACTGTGATTGCTAAAATAACGTTCTTTCTAGAATTACAGGCCTACCATTTCAAACTCTGAAGAACTGTTTACAGATAGATATTCAAATAATTCACATACCCTTGGTTTAGGACCCATCTGCACTAACACCAGTTATTGGCCTTCAGCCATCAAAAAACATCTAACACAATTTGGATCAACCTAATTTGTATTTCCACTATGTATCATGCAATAGACATTAATTAAGAACCTGAGTTTGTACTTTGCTTCATTATATTAAATGATATCTCAGAATCATATTTTTACATAAGTGTAGAAGCTATCTCCCTATCCTCTGCTGCTTCCCATTCCCTTGTCTGATCCCTTCTCCACCAATTTTCCTCTTAATATTGAAAGTCTTAGGCCAGGCACAGTGGCTTATGCCTGTAATCCCAGCACTTTGGGATGCTGATCCAGGCAGATTGCTTGAGCTCAGGAGTTTGAGACCAGCTTGGACAACATGGTAAAACCCCATCTCTCCAAAAAATACAAAAAGTATTGGGGTGTGGTGGCCCACACCTGTGATCCCAGCTATTTGGGAGGCTGAGGTAGGAGGATTGCTTGAGCCCAGGAGGTTGAGGCTGTAGTGAGCCATGATCACACTACTACACTCCAGCCTGGGTGACAGTGCAAGACCCTGTTAAAAAAAAAAAAAAGAAAGAAAGTCTAGATAAGTAGAATTTTGTTACACATTTAATAAGAAACTTTGATTTTCTGGTAATCATGTTCCTATCATAAAACATGAATGAGATTAATTTAAATCCACATAAATTCTTGTGAAACTATAGTTAGATAATTAATGTGTAATGATTTATGATTTGCTTACTTTATGATAAATCAAAAATGTCAGCTGGTATAAAAAGTGGTTCTTTTCATGCATTTTCCTGTCTCAGATTTCAGTTTCATTCTATATGAAAGTGCATTGTCCCCCATTATAGAGTAGTGTGTGAAATTCTAAGTTTCAAAAAAAGTTATTGTTACAACAGATGCAAAGTCATTATAATGTGCTTCCAGAAATCACTAACAGTTCACTGTTGAAATGAAAAATATCACAGATCTACTGTGGGCAGGAGAATGGTATGAAAACTTTAGGAGGACTATCTTACCTTTTTTGATGTAGTCTACCGGTGATGTGAGCCAGTCAATTTCAGGTAGAGATTTACAAATGCAAATTGCTGAAAAATGTTTCTGCATACCATTGCCACTCTTTCGGTTTCAGCACTGGATTTAAAATACCAGGATGGGAAATGGGCAAATCTGGGAGACAGCTACTTTCTTTGCTGTCTGCTCTTCAGTGGCTCAGAGATTTTCTACTGCCTGCAGCTATGTCCAAACTAGGTAGAATGCCTTTCTCAGGTTCATGTCACCTTTTAGCCCTTCACTCTGAAGGTATTAGTTAGGGTTTCCTTCCCAAAGTAGCACTTTTCTGATCCAACAAGAGAATACAGAAAACAAGTAGCTCAGACATCAAATGTTTTAAGGGAAAGATTTTCAGAGAATTAAAACCTCACTCCTTATTTTGGGGGGTACTGTCACTTAATAAATGTTCCCAAAAAGCTTACTCTACTTACCCCATAACCTCTGCTGTTCTCTTTATCTCCCATGCGTGTGATATAGTATTCGGTATTTCTAGAAGAACAATGATATGAGCCTCTGTTTCTTTGTAGCTAGAAAGGATTGTCTAGTGGGGGCTCTGAGCTCTGCCACTTTGCCTGCCTGACTGAACAACTTAGGGAAACATGCCCTTAGTTTTTCTTATCCTTATTTTATTATCAGTTAAAGCAACTGGTGATTCTTATTCCTGAAGTACTTTGAAACATTTAGGTAAAATTTGCTCATAGGTCTGTTATATTTCTGGGGATTTCTGAGAATGTGAAAGACTAGATAAGCTGTATCACATAGTTTTTGAACTTTTTATGTTTCTAAGAAAAGAGTATACTTTTTTGCCCAGCTGGAAGCATAAAGATGTTTGGTGGATGCTAAAAAGCTGGAGGACATGTCTTAGCTGTCAGATATTCCTACCCTGGGACATTTCCCTAGAAGGAACATACTTTACTCTTCTGAGAAACACAATAACTTTCTCAGGGTTGTGTGACATGTTTGTGAATTGAGAATTGGTCTCTGCTTATACTTTCTAACAGTCTACATTTTTGTTAGGCAACTAGAAAGCCATGACTTTTCCTGATGCAGTAGGCTGTACAATATTTGAATTTGCCAATGACAAACTTCATTATAATCACCTTTCCCCATAACAGCTCTTTGATGATAACTGAAAATCAGACTCCTGAAATAGAATGAATTATCAGAAATGAGAAATTCCTTTATTGTTCTCTGTCCAATGAGTTTGAATAAGACAAAGCAAATCTCTTGACACACCCCTTTAAAGTTCATTTTTCTCAAGCAGGTCATTATTTTATTCTATTTTAAGTAATGCCCCTGAAGCACATGGGAGATGCTATGTTAGCATCTTCTTTTTCTATTCTTATCAGTCGTGACACTAAATAGCTCACTTTTTAAAAGAGTCTTTTATTTATTTTTAGTAAAAACTTAACTCGAGTTAGAAATCATTACTTTTCCAGATAAAAGGAATAAAAAGGAGGATTTTTGTTGGATTAATGACTAACTGTACCATCAATTATTTTAAAATTCATTTGAAATATATATAATTCCCCTAAATGGAGGCAATTTTCACAGGCAACTTCAGATATTTCCTGTGTACAGCCCAGTACAGGCTAATCCAAGCAAAGAATTCTAGTTCAGTGCTGAGGAGCCTCTGACAGGCATTAATTGGCGTCTAAATGATCGCAAGCTGCTTCAAATGCAAAGTTATTGTGCTTATCTTTTTTAAGTGACTTTTCTCATGGGATCTTGATCATTTTCAGTATTTGTCATGCCTCCCTGAAGGTCTGTGTTTATATCTTTTAGCAGTTCCCTTCAGCCTAAAGAAATTTCTTCAGCATTTTCTATAGTGCAAGCCTGTTAGTGATGACTTCTTGCATTTAATTTTGTCTGAAAATACACCTCAGCTTTATTCTTGAGAGAATTTGTCTCTGAACATAGAATTCTGAATAAATGAATATTTGTATTTTGTCATGAACTCTAAAGATTTTATTTCACTGAGTTCTGGCCTTAAATTGTTTCTGAAGGAAGTCAAAGTATTCAAATTGTTGTTCCCCTCTATATAATGTATTGTTTTTCTCTGGCTGCTTTCCAGAGTTTTCGCTTTAGCTTTCTGCTGTTTTAATATGATGTGCTTTTTTCACACGTATCCTGCTTGGGGTTCACTGAACTCTTTAAATATGCAGATTAATGTCTTTCATCAAATTTCAGAAATTGCCAACCCTTGTTTCTTCAAATCTTTTTAAATTACTTTTTGTCTCCTCTTTTTCTGCAGTTTTATTTACATATATCTTAGACCTTTGGATGCAATCTCACAAGGTCCCAAGGCTCTGTTTTTTAAAATATATATATCTTTCTCTGTGTTCTTCAGATTGGATACATTTGTATTGCTCTCTCTTTAAATTCTCTCATTATTCTGTCATCTATATTCTACTTTTAGGCTTGTCTGGTTATTTTTATTTCAGATATCATTTTCTAGCTGTAGAATTACCCAGATGTGGTAGTTATCAGACAAGGAATATTCTCAGTGATATAACAGAAATACGCTCATAATGAATGAAAGGATAGGTAATCTCAGCAGAGGAATGGAAATTTTTTAAAGGATCCTTGATTCTTTTCATTTTCAGATAAAAGAACTCTTGGCTCATTTTAAAAATTTCTATTCCTCTACTGAGATTTTCTGTATTTTCATTCATTATATTTTCTTTACATCATGAGCATAGTTATAATAGCTGCTTTAATTTCTTGTCTGCTGAATTACCACATCTAGGTTATATCAGGGTTGGTGTCTGTTAATTGTCCTTTCTTTCAGAAATGGGCCATCTCTTTCTAGTTTTTATATGTCAAGTAATTTTGGGCTGTATCCTAAATATTATGGCTATTATATTGTGAAGACTCTGGATTCTGCTATGCTCCTTCAAAGAATGTTGACTTGGTTTTCTTTTGTTTTTATGGTCAATTTACCTGGTTGGATTCGAGATGGGAATTCTGTATCTTGGATAGAAGCTTAGTTGTCATTTCAGTTCTTTTAGCCTTAGCTGTACTGTTTGGAATCTTCCTTGTGCTTTCTTGGCTCAGGTATCATGCAGACATTTGAGCAGATCTTATAAACAGAATTTGAAGTTCTTTCCCCCTGCCTCTATTGTCTTCTTTCTGGGATTCCCTTCTTATTTTCCAGTGGCAATAATAGCCCTGAACTCTCCTTGAGTTATTTAGGCCATAAAGGCTATGGATTTTCTATTAGAAATTTAGCCATCTTGTGAGGTGCTAACTCAGGTCTACCCTCAGACTAAATGGCCCTTTAAAAACTAAGAGACTCACCCTATGCTCTTCCTTTCTTCTAAGTGTCAGCTTCTCTTCAGAATATGTCTACCTCAGATGAAATGGCCCCTTAAAAACTGAGAGACTCACCTATGCTATTCCTTTCTTCCAAGTGTCAGCTTCTCTTCAGATATGTCTGCTTTTGTTCACTCTCCAATATCATCAAGTAGTTATGGGTTTTATTTTGTGTTTTGTCCAAAGATTATGGCTATTATCTATGGGAGGGTTGGTCTGGTAGAATATTATTCCTGAAAGCTCATCTTTGCTGTAATTTCTAAAACTACAAAAACTCAATTAAGAGTTATGTTGAACAAAACTATGAAAGGACAGAGAAGAGGAAGGCAAGCAGCGAAATTAAAGGGTCCAACATGGGGAGGTGAAAGTGGCAGAACCCTTAAAGGAAAGTCCACAAGTCTACGTAAGAGGAAAAATGTATTCCATGGCCAAAAGTACTTTCTAATACGAGAGGAAGATAAGAATCATAGACTCCTAGAGCTCTTGGTCTGGAAAGAAAGCCTAATGCAAGACAGAGTGTAACCAAGTCTGCTTTGTCTGAGACTGTTTTACTTTCAACATGCCTCTTTGCCTTAAGAGTGTTTGGAGAATTTTTTTCCTAATATGTGAGAAAAAGTGCTGCTTTATCTTATCCTTAACTCTATTCATGTCCTCAACATTTTCAAGGCATTCACACCTAAAAAGCATACCTCTTAACCTTAGGAAATTCGCAACATTCATAATGATGAATTAATGGGAATCAGGCGAGAAGAAGAAATGGAAATGTCTGATGATGAAATAGAAGAAACGACAGAAACAAAAGAAACTGAGGAATCAGGTAAAGATAATTCTGTTTTGTTATTTAACAAACATGTACTTGCAGGCAAGATATTTTCAAACCTATAATACCTAATAAGGTCTGGACACCAACCCATCAGTCTGGATACCAGCTAGAAATAGTTGGTGAGGCCATATATGTACACATTGGCTGAATATCAGACCTGTGGCTACAGGATTTTCTGTAATTTTCATTTGCATTGAAGTGCCTAATGAAAAATGGACTTTCTTTTTCTTTTCTTTTCTTTCTCTCTCTCTCTCTCTCTCTTTTTTTTTTTTTTTTTTTTTTGAGGTGGAGTTTCGCTCTTGTTACCCAGGCTGGAGTGCAATGGCGCGATCTTGGCTCACTGCAATCTCCACCTCCCAAGTTCAAGCAATTCTCTGCCTCAGCCTCCTGGGTAGCTGGGACCACAGGTGCATACCACCATGCCCAGCTAATTTTTTGTATTTTTAGTAGAGACATGGTTTCACCATATTGGCCCAGCTGGTCTTGAACTTCTGACCTTGTAATCCACCCACCTCAGCCTTCCAAAGTACTGGGATTTACAGGAATGAGCTACCGCACCCAGCCAAAAGTAGAATTTCTTTTCCAAAAAGCACTGGGCATTTAGGCAGCTCTAACCTAGTATAGTCAGAACCTCACTGTGAGACAGAGGTTATGTTATAGGTCATTAGTGGGACCCACAGGGCAAACTTTTTGAATAGGATAATACCCCCCCCCCCTTCAGTTTCATAATAAAGTATCTTGGATGGGAGAATTACCACTGCAGATAATAAAATAGCCAGAAGACTACTCTTTTCAGGCAAACCCTTTCAGACAATCTTAGAAGTTAGATTATAGGAAGATACAGTGGAAAAGGCACTGGATCTAAAGTTGAAACACCTGAGTTCTAGTTCCAACTCTGTCCTTCTTGACTTAGGAGGGACTTCTTTCCCACTGAGGCTCAGCTTCCACACTTGTAAGAAGAACATTATTAAAACCATCTAACAACCAGGCACGGTGGCTCATGCCTGTAATCTCAGCACTTTGGAAGGCAGAGAGAGGTGGGTGGATCACCTGAGGTCAGGAGTTCGAGACTAGCCTGACTATAATGGTGAAACCCCATCTCTACTAAAAATACAAAAAATTAGCCAGGCATGATGGCAGGCGCCTGTAATCCCAGCTACTTGGGAGGCCGAGGCGGGAGAATCCCTTGAACCTGGGAGGCGGACATTGCAGTGAGCCAAGGTCACACAGTTGCACTCCAGCCTGGGCAACAAGAGGGAAACTCCATCTCAAAAAAAAAAAAAAAAAATCTCACACGGATTTTGTGATGGATAAATTAGTTTATCCATTTATTTAATAATTATTACATACTAAGCACTATGCTGGAGATTGGAGATATAGTTGTATAGTGTTCCTGCTGTGTACGTGTGTGTGTGTGTGTGTGTGTGTGTATAAACGAGAGAGAGAAATTATAATTCAAATCTGAATTTCCTGGTTCCAGTACTTGTATAGTGAAGTCAGCAGCTCTGTAGCCACTTGAGTGGTCTTAGAATTTTCACTCCATAAACAGGAACTCTGAAGGAAAGAAAAATACCAAGTCAGACTTTTAAAAAGATATTCATTAGCTGTTACATCTGAATATTTTCTATTTTTGCCATATGTTTGAACCCTAAACATACAAACTGCTATGTATATTGAATACACCGTATGTAATCAGTGGTTAGCTAGCATTTTCAGTATAGTCAACTAATTACTGCAAATAAATACTATAAGCTTATAGCCAAAATAAACAACGAGGAGAATAAGAATTGAACGATTCAAATTATTTAAGTGCTTATATAGGATGTTTTGTAACTGATTAATCTTTCACTTGTATAATTGTTTACACCTCAGTATCTACAGTATTGTACACAGTGTTTATCCAGTGTTACCATGAAATAAATGCCACCATAAGTTTGAGCATCCACTTGATAAATTGCTGAGTTTGTGGAGTTATTGGGGAAGGAGAGGGGTGAATGGGAGATTCAGACTGTACGCGCTTACTAGGGTTATATAATTGCATTTTGCTTCTGTATCTCTTTTAAGTTAAAAGCTGTATTGGCTACTGCACAGAGTCTTATACATTTAAGAGACTGGAAACTCCCTGACAGATCATCTTATAGCTATTTTCTTTCCTGTTCCACATGCCAGGATGCTGCTTTGTCAAATAAAGCTATCTACAATAGACTTAATGGAGCTTACCAAATAGCTTTTCTCCCAGAAGGTTTCAATTCATTTTAATTCAAGGACTTTTGTGCATTTTTCTTCCCCTCGATTGTATCTAATTCTGTTATCTCGCTTCTGTAGTACTCAACTGCAGAAATCCTGCTCAATGTGAGTCGGTGAATAGGTCCTCAGTTTTTATCTAAAGTGGCTACATGTTTTAGCTGTCACTTGGTTCCAATTAAAAGCTTAAGCAACTAGATCTCAGAATTGTTGTTTTTTTCCCCTCTGTTCATGCTATCAAACTTGAATTATAGGAAACTATGGCATGTTTCTGGTTAGATTTTACTTCCTGAAGAAAGTAAAACCAGCCTAGAAGTCTCAGATACCTTTCCCTGGAGTGCCACAAAATTTCTATTCTTAGAGAGACTCCGTATTAGCCAGCCCATAATTGTGATACAGTACTTTAAATACTCTTGCCATGGAAGAAAGGACTGATGTACACAATCTGTTGAAGAGGGAGAATTACATCAAAGCAAATCATGGTAGTGTAAAATTATTTCATTATCTTGTTACCCACAATGGAAAGTACTGTACCCAGTAAACATAAGAAAAGCTGTTCCCTTTCAGCACCCATCTTCTGCTTTCTTTACTTAGACTAGTAGTTCTCAGATTTGGATACTGAAGAATCATTTGGGTTACCTTTTAAAATTCAGATGTCGAAGTTGCAGAATCTGAGCCACTATGTCTGTAATGGGGTTGAGGAATCTGCATTTTCAGCCATCCTAAATGATTTCAATGCTGGTGGTCCAGGAAGCACATTTGGAAAACATTGACTTACACTAATTCTCCTTCATTTTTCTGGCCAAAGTTGTTTGTTCCCTTGATATTAATCTAATCTCCCTCTTCCTCCCTGACCTTTTATTTTCCATTATTTCCACTTTAAGAGTTTGGCCAATTAATTAACAAGCACTATGTCCTATAAGCTGATGGAGATAGAGATATAAATATGTGTAAATCCACAGAAAATTTTAGAAATACCACTTGCTGCTAACATGGAAGGTACTGATTAGAATGCAGCAAGGCAAGAAATATCAGGTGTAGGCCAGAGTTGTCACAGTGAGTGAAAAATTGATCAGGTCCTTGAAAGATGAACAGGTTTAGATGATAGGAAGGAAGGTAAGAAAGCAACTTGATGGTGGGAGGAAAGGAGGGAGTAAAAGGATTGGGGAGGCTCAAAGAGGAAAATAAGCATGATGTTTATAGGGGGATAAAAGACTAAGTAGAGTAGATGGGTCCAAATTATGGAGGGCCATGAATGCCAACCTTAGACTTTGCATAGTAAGCAATATGCCACTATAAGCACATCTTGACCATGGTGCTAATATGATGAAAGCAACATGAATTATATATTTTGAGAGCTAATCTTGAATTAAGAGAATATAACCAGAGACATTTACAGAAGTGAGAGGTAAAATGATGAAGGGTAGGACCAGAGTGAAGGCAAGAGGAACTGAGACAAAAAATGGTAGAAGAAAAGGAGGCAATGGATTGAATGAGATTAAAGATGCTAAGAGTCATTTTCGAGGACTATATCTAAGTCTTGAGTGCCAGATGGATATAGATGATGAAGAAAAGGAAAGAGCCAAAAATGAGTCTGTGTTTTCTACTCTGAGAGGTTGGAGGCCTGTTGGTTATATTGGTTCGCTAGAGATGTCATAACAAAATACCACAAAGTGGGCAGCTTAACTGACGAAAATGTATTGTCTCACAGTTCTGGAAGCTAGAAGTCTGAGATCAAGGTATCATTAGGGTTAGTTCCTTGCGAGGGAGAATCTGTTCCATTCTTGTCTCCTACTTTCTGGTGATTTTCCAGCAATCTTGGGTATTCTTTGTCTGGTAGATGCATCATCCCAACATCTGCCTTCACATGGTATTCTCCCTGTGTACATGCCAATTCCTGTGTCCAAATTTCCTCTGTCAATACGGATACCAATCATATCAAGTTAGGACCCACCATAATGACCTCATTGTAGCTTGACTACCTCTGTAAAGAACCTATTTCCATATAAGCCAGATTCCGAGAGCTTCAACTTTTCTTTTTTGAAAGGACACAAATCAAACTGTAACAGTAGAACTGACAGAAATGGACTGATGGATGGGACTGATTTGCAGAATATGATGAGGTGAACAGCAGATAGTAGGTTATTGTGAAATGGGCAGAAGGGATTTGTATTCAAATTACAGTTGAACAAACTAGAAGGAATAGTAGATGGTAGTGTAGAGGTGTTGGCAGAAGCCCTGAGAATTTTATTAAATGAGTATGAAAAACAAGTGAAAGAACAGCAAAACGTTGAATACAGAATTTGGAGGGCCCACCACAGTAAGGGAGAAGGAAAGAGGAGTTTGCAGAAGAGTTAGAAAAAAAGCAGTTCTGAGAGGTTGGGAGAAAACTAGAAAAGAATTGGGTTGTGGAAACCAAGAAAAGCTTTTATAGAAGTAAGTAGTCATTGACATTAGTCGGTGGTACAAAGAAACTAGGAATTCAGAGAACAGTGCTGGGCAAGAGCTATTTTAGTGGAGTGATAGAGGTAGGGGCCAGAATATATGAGATTAATAAAAGAAAGTAAACAAAGACCATAGGTCAAGAAGTTGGGTACTAAGCAAAATGAAATAATGGATATTATAAATGGCAACTAGAATCGATAAAGTTAAGGGTTTTTTGTTGCTGTTTTTCAGTAAAAAGGAAGGAGGCAATGGAGGGTATGAGACTGAAGACACTAGAAAATAAAAGAGTACTTGTAGAAGTAGGA